TCTTTCTCGAACATCTGTATATGATTCGAAAACTTGAGAAGCGGGCAATCTAATTTTTATTTTCTATTTTTCTTTCTAGCGAAAGGAGGTATGGTACGATTCTTGTCAGTAAACATGCATCCATCACTAGCTAGTCCAGACTTTCTACTTGCTCAACTCTTTTTTTCAACAATGTGTATTCATTGGTACAATGTTAAAAGAATCAGACATTTTTTTATTTTTGATTATGTTTCGTTAGCAACGCCACCTTGAGTGCGCAGAAGGTCTCGAGCATGCGTTTCTTCAACAAAACGCTGTTGTTTCGATAATCTCTTGCGGTCTTGATGTCTTAATAGAAGAGCAGCTTTCCTTTCTAAATAAAAAGTGCCGTTGCAGCAGCTGTTTGATTCTGCTGTTATGCCTTGATCCTAGTCTCAATCTCAGGTGAAAGGAGTCAACCAGATGCCAGCCCTAAAGTGAAGGGGGTCAGAGAAATTTCCCCACCTATCGCATCTATGGTCGATAGTGTTTGGCAATTATAGAGAGACTGCAAAGTTATGTAAAACGGCATCTGAGCCGCTTTTCTGCCAATGTGCGCCATTTTGGCATTTCAACCAAAAAACGTTTCCAGGAAGGATGAAAAAGATTTCAGGGGCTCTACGATGGTTTCTGCACAATGCAAATGAAAAGAAGAATTTGAAAAAATGTGAATTTTAAATCTGACCCCATTTTAGACGTTGTAAGCATCAGGGCTCGTGGTAATCCCTCATCGTGATGGTCGCGACGTTCGAAATATCGCACGTACTCAACACGTGTCGTTTCGGCCGCGGTTCGCGCGCCTACCTCTTATAACCGCCGCGCGGCGAAATCGCTGGACGTCGTGACTGCAGGACGTGCTCGTCCTCTTCACAGAGACGAGCACGTCGTGAAAGTCGTGACGCAAGGGACAGAGAAATAGAAATAGTGGGCCCGAGTACGCCGTGTTCGTCTTGTGCGCAGGGACCGTAAGCACACAGCACTAGGTTGAACACAAGCCAAATGCAATCGATATCAGCAGCTGATAAGCGCCCAAAAGTCAATGCGACTTAACGACACTTTCTGATTTCTGAGTATTTCTGCTGCCATATTCTTTGTAATCTGGAAAAGCTAAGTCTAGTTTAACTAAAAACTACATCAGAATTTGAATTATTTGTATTTTGTAGTGTTTAAACCATTTTGTTCTTTTCATTCTTACATCGCAACTCATTTGTGCCCCAAATTTTTTCTCCATGTCTCAATCACCCTTATTCTTCCATCTTAGCATCATAACTTATAATAACGGGCTAAGGATGTTTACGTGACTTCGTGTGTTTGTGTGTGTGAGAGTGTGTCTGTTACGAAAATCGTAGAGCGTGTTCCAGTTAACCTCCTTAGCTCAAATTTTGCGCAGCGCATGCCACCCGCATGAAAGTCCAACATGCAAAGCACGAGCAGATTCGCTGGGTGGATCCCTCAGAAACTGCACGTTAAATGGATTCACTTTGCATTTGTGCTCAAAAATGGGTTCTTAATTCCACTTTTTGCAGAGTCGAAGATGTTTATGCCAAGTAAATGTGCAAGCTATGAACTTAGGCCCAAAAAAGTGATCAAAAGCCCATTACTTTACAAAGGCGCTAAAATGTATTGGTTGCGTAAATGGTCAATTTGCCAAGGTTTTACCAGAGCATTTGACAAGATTTTTGCACAAAGATGTAGCTCGTGACTGCTGTTCTTATGCAACTGTCAAGACCATTGGAAGATCAAAAACCTACAGAAATTTGCGTTTCTCCTGCAAAAAGTCTCATCTACGTGAAATCACCGATTTCACGTAAAAAAGCTTTCGGAATGAGTAGTTGCTTACATTTGGTTCGTGATAGTCGGCATTGCTCGGTGAGTTCAATGCCATCATTATGCAAGAATGAGTAGGGCCTAGATAGTAGAGCCAGTGCGAGCCTCTGCGAAGCAGAGGTGACGCACTGGTCATTTATAACCTGTATTTGCTGGAATGCTTTTCATTAGCTGTGTGTCAGCGTTTCCCTTCCAATTAAAAAAAGGGGAACTGTGTAGCGTTACAGCTAATGCAATAGCTCGTGTTTTCCCAACCAAAGTGTTAATGGCCTTGAAACGTTCCATTTAATCTTTATGTATTGTCAGTATTCTATGTTTGTATTGTCTTTTTTCTTCTATTACCAATGAAAATCAGCAAATTCCGCTTATTTACGTAAAACAAGTCAGCTAGCCATAACTTGAAAACATTCGTTCACATGGTACTCGTACCCGCCACCGTTAGCCTAGCGGCGTCCAATATTGGCGCTGCGTTATTCGCATTTCGTAGCTGTCGTCGGGTGTAGGACGATTCGCACGACCGTACGGCTTTCCACACAGGACCGCTGTCGCGCGCGATACACCCTGCGGCTGCTTTTGCCTAAGCAAAGCAGGGAAGAAAAATTTGCGGCGTGCGTGACGTGTTAAGACAAGTCAAAATCAGGTTAGCGCTGGAGACCTCCCATGCGAAAAGACCGTCTCCCGCTGCCGTCACTATTCAACTTGATAGTGAACATGGGAAGGCTGTACATATTTTTGCAACCTACGTAACACACATCAAGCTTGCTCATCGCTTTGCTCGGCAGATGCGCGGGCGATTGTTTTGTCTGTCGCATCTTTGCTTCACTAGCTTTGATTTCGTTGACATCTAAAAGCTATCAGTAGCCAGTGGAAGTGCGCGCCGTAAAAGGTCATCCACGGGTTCGATCGCGCTTGCGCGCTCAAGTTTTGCGGCGCCCAAAAAGGGGTCATGAGCAGCACGTCCTTGAGTTGGACACGTCGTGTCCTCGGTTTCTTTACATTGCGACGTATTTCGGTGGTTTACTACGGGCCCTCAGTTCTGCAACACTACAACCAGCACCAAATGCATCCAAAAAGTAGAAAGGACAGGAGAGGACAGCATTTGCGAAGGAAGGATCAGAGGCGGTAGTGAATTGGTCAAAACTCCGAGTAGTTCCATTCTTGAAAAGAAAACTTTTCATTCTTTTATTATGGCGCAGCTCCAAACCGAGATGCAAATTTGGTGAAATGCAGTGATTGCGAACAAGTATGAAAATGATTGTGTGTTCGATTATTTCCTCCATTTGCATCCCTTTGCAGGAGTGTCCTCCCCACTGAATCTTATTGCAAATAATTTGAAGCTTCTAGTTACTACGTTTTAGGAAAAATTAGTTAGAATGATAGATTCAACCAAATTACTACAACCCCAGAGTTTTGCTTATTAAAAAACTGAGTTCTGTTTTTGAAGTTCCGAATTCCACCTTTCAAGGTTGAGTTCTAATATGCTGTCTGTTTGATGAGCTGTTATAAACATCGCCGCAAAAGCGACATTCAAACTGGGACTCGAATCTGTTCGAGTCTAGGTTAATGATCCTGTCACTGAACCGTTAGGGCATGACACAACCTTGACCTTGAAGTTGTTTTGCCGTAATGTACTCATTGCATCAGCACAAAGCATGTCAAAACACGTTATATCAAAGCTTCACTCATTTTCGTTCCTGTCGAGAAGTAATTTTATCGCCGGCTTCAAACAATAGAGAGGGAGAGAGAGAGAAAGAAAGAAAGCGAGAGATAAAGAAAGAGGGAGAGCGGATGGCATGTGCAATAATGAATGAACTATTGAGATTTGAACGGAATGAACCTTTTGGGGAAAGCTGGCCCTTACTTTACCCCCGCATAAAGGGTTTTGTTAACTTTTGGTTGGCGCGCCAAAGCCTCACTGGGTCCTAGCTATGTGTGTGACTTCTTACCATATACCTACCCTAGTCGCTCCAGATGACATCAAAGTACGTAGCAGGTAGACTGTCCGTGATCTGCGATCCGAATAACCCCACTGTACCGAGTTTCGGCTAATTCCGCCGCTTTGATTCACTTACCGTAAGCTTACCAAAACCTTGCCGGATGTCACCTCAGATATTTTGAATACCATATTCATGGTCAGCGCGCCAAAATCCCACCGGTCCATTTTTTGACTAATTTGTGATTTTCTTCGTCTACCGTAAACCAATCGTAACCCGGCTATATGACAACAAGGTGGAAAATGAATACCATAATTCGATCAGCGTACCGAACAATCTTCTTAGGTCAGGATTTCACAAAAGTCCAAAAATTTGTAAATACGGCGCACCAAGATACCCCAAACTGCGATCAAAATGTACCCGGAGGACTTTTTAGCTGCTCCTCTTCTTTTATACTTATTTCTCTTTCTATAACCAAACTCAAAGTTTCCTCTAAACATTGCGATAGACTGAACGTGCAGCAAACTTGGAGTTATTGCAGAGGTTAGTTGCGCTTTTGTGGCGCTGATTCTTGTGCAAAACGATTTGGGCAATATTTCCCTACTAAGGGTGAACTACCGGTTACGTAGTCTCCTGCCATATCACCGCTTTCCAGATCCGGTTTATTCAGGCACCTGTTGAGGTGATCGAAAAGGTGCGCCTTAGCTCATAACTCAAAGTTAACTCAGAGCTATAACGACAGACTTTCGACAGACCCAAAGAAAGTCGAAGATTTGAGCTTACAAAACTGTACTGCTTGCTATTTGTGCTCGTGCGATATCATTGCTCATGTGTAGACCCGGATAGAACCGATTGCGCCAGAATGTACTTTGCAAGCAATTGGTCCCTTGCGCGTGCTTTGACATGTCATGTTGGAAAAAGCAGTTCGCACAGGGTATTTTTTCAAAATGAAAAAGAGTAAGCATAACAGAAGTGATTCATTAATCTGATATCCTGCCTATCTCTCAATTTCTTCATTCACTCTCGTGACAATCTTAGTTTCCATTCTGATTTCTGCGTAGAATCTGTTGCGCATATTACATACCCTAACTCATACGGCTATAAATATCTCAAGGATCACGCTTCCTTCTATTTTACCCACCATGAAATTCTATGAATGCTCTTTGAATGCTTCCTGTTTATTTATTCTGAATGATAAGATACTCTTCAAAAGGAGTTCTTAGGTAAGTTGGTCATTATACCACCATGTATGCATTTCTTCTGCTGTTCGCTCTGATTTTATCTTGTCACGCCAGATCGCTGGGAGAGGTGGGCATTCAGGGAAAAGAAGGATCTTTGATTTACATTGTTTAGGAGCAACGCAGAGATGCAAGAGTTGAAGATAAGGATCGCCGTCGTGAGCAGGCTGTGGTCACGCCTCGAGGTAACGTCGGATGACCCAAAAATTTGAATAAAACAGCCTTAAAGGCAGTGGACAGGCAGAACGGACCCCTGTCAGATTTTGGTAGTTTCGGGTAGTAGACCCCCCAAGTACATCATAGCCCCAAGCCCACCTTCCACTTCATGCGCTAAGTCCTGAAAAAGCGCTTCGAAATTCCACCAATAACGCCCACTCAATGGAAGTGGGCGGGGCTGGTGGAGTTTTGAAGCGCTTTTTTTAAGACTTAACGCATGAATTGGAAGGTGGGCTTGGGGCTATGATGTACTTGGGAGGTCTACTACCCGAAACTACCAAAATCTGACAAGGGTCCATTCTGCCTGTCCACTGCCTTTAACACGTATTGTTTACCGCTACTTAGGCTGGGTTTATACTCCGTGAGTTCCGGAATAATTTTAGCACAGTGGTCAAATTGTTTGCTGCGCTGGAATTGTTCTGGAACTTACGAATGAGTATAAACCCGACCTTAGTTACTGCACCGTCTCATAAATCGTGCGGTAGTAAATCCCTTAATTGAAGAGCATAAGAGTGGAGTTTTGTAACTTTAGTAGCTGCCTATTGTTGCAGCAATAGCATTCTCCACCTCTTGCGGCTTTTTTTGCATGGTACTTTCATCGCGTATTCGTTCTGATAAAAGCTCCTGCGTTATAAGCTTTGATTCAGTGAACAGACTACCATAAGACAGATTTTGCGTTTTTGTAATAAAAAGCATTTGACAAAGATGATAACACTAGATAAGAACACAAAAAAATGCAATTGGAAAGCGACCCGCCATTAGCAGCAACCGAAGAAGTGAATCATTTTAACTAAAAGATTAGATGTGCGAAATATCTATCGAATTGGAGTCTTGTTGATAATGAGTAAATGTAAATCTCTGAGCAAATCTTGCGCAACTTTAGTCGCCTTATGATGGTAATCGGTAATAGCTCACAACTCGTCGTAAGACTGTATCATCGTAACGAGAACTTCTTGTCGTCATTTTGTCTAAGTCAACATTTATTCCGATTTCCTGCTTATTTTGCAAGTCACCGAAGAAATAACAGATCACTGGTAAGGAAAAATTTAGAAAAAGATGTCTCTGGTACGACACAGGAGTTGGAGCCCTGGGAAAAACCTGAAATACCCGCTGCAGCCTTGGAAGGTAAGCGGCAGTTTTCAAAGGAAGAATTTATAACAACTGGGAAATAGGGTGTGAATGTTAAGGTTCGCACAATCCTGCAGATAAGAGAATATCAGCCAAAGTTTCTCTTAAGGTGAGAAGGATTCTGACAAATTTTGAGTGAACCTGCTTGTTGCACAGTGTTTTTTGCTAAACTGATTACCTCTTCACTCCGTATATGCTATCTAATATTTCAGCGAGAGGATAAGCAGGAAAAGGCTGGTCTTTGGAACGCCATCAAAAAAGCAGCATCATTTGTTGCCAAATCAGGTAACATTTTCTACTTAAAGGCCTTTATGAAAAAAGTCTGATATTGTTTACTACAGCGAAAGAGGGCCTTGCTAAATTGAACAGGCAAATCTCCCGATTCCTTGGAAGCGGTAAAACAGTGGCAGTAACCATAACTACTCCTGCACATGCGATTAAACGCAAGAGCATTGATGAAAAGGGAGAAGAGAACACACCGGAGATTGGACACGAAAATGGAAACGATGAAATTCCTATGAGATCCAAAAGACAGCAGAGTGAGATAGAGGCGCTTAGGCAGCTAGAAGAGACACTGGAGAAAAAGCGAGCGAAAGTTGGAGCATATACGAAGAGAAATTAGATTAAACTTTCAAGTAGTAAGTTGTAGCTTTCCTGAAAAAAATGCTCGTATAAGTTGCTTTAGGTTCCGCCATGATGGCATTCGACTTTCCGCCGATAAATTTTTCATGTGACTTTGTCTGTATAGCTCTTATATTATAGAGTTCAATAAATCGGCGCTTTGCAACGATTTTCGCAATGTAAATTTATGACTATATGAGGGGAAGCTTCTAGTGTCTTTTGGTATTTTTAATGCTCCTGTATAATCGTGATTCATTTGAGCTCGATTGCCTTTCCAAACTGCGTAGAACAGGTCTTGTGATATCAACTGCTAACGGCTAATCATGCATCACAAGACTTAAAACCGCTTGCGAAATACACGAAGATAATGTCAATCAAACGACCACATTAAAGTTAGAGAAGAATAAGTTTTTTCCTTCTGATAGGGGTCTTAGCAAGGTACTTAGTAACGCTAGGCAACCCGGACAATGCATGATGACTCATTGATTTTTTGAGGTTTCAAATATTCTTGACACACTATTGTAGTAGGTAGAATGTATATCGCACACACGAAACGCGTAGTCTGGTCACACTTCAAAAATGATGTAGGCTTGAACACCGTACGTGTGGTTGCAAGCCCTTTTCTTCTCTTGATACTTTCTTCAGACACTCTATCCTAGTAGTTGCATGCTTTAGCTTTTGTTTTGTAGCACGAAATAAGATTCTACGCAAATTTATTGCTTTGGGCTCACTCTGTTTTGAGACCAAATCATATTTCTAAAAATATGGAAAATACATAAGCGTGACAGGTTTAGAGCTCCAAGAACTACAAAATGTGCGGCTGCACTGGAATGCATCTTACAGTTTTGAGAGAGTGAAAAAAGTGTTGGGGTCCGATTAAACCACAGAATTATCCAAAGAAGTGCTTTGGGGAACTGAAGCTAGTGTGGAAGCAAACTGAACAGTCAGGGATAGTAAGCGCAATTGACACTTGATGTGCTCCCGTGGTAAAGCCAATGCATATAAATTAGCCGTCGCGCTATTCAGCCATAATAGACGTAACTTTTCGGAGTTGCTAGCTTTGAAATAGAATCGCAACGTGTTTAAGTTAACGCTATATTCGTACCAAACGTCTGTTTTGACAGGTTGTGTTTTGCACTGCATCCTCAGCATTTAGGAAACTTCAAGAATTGAAGTTTAGACGTACTATGTTCTCTATGAGCCTTTTTTTGCGCCATTCAACTTTAGATGGAGGCGCCTTTCCGAAATCGTAAAGAGTGAATATGATTCGACTCTTTATTGTGTGACGATGCATTGTAGCCCTGACAGTCGAGATTTACGCGACGGGGCGATATTAGCACACAAATTTTACATGCACAAAAGAAAATGTTCAGTTTTTTGAAAAATACTTGTACTTAAAAATACTTAAAACACTTGAAAAAATAATTATAATGGCGCACTCTTATTAGATTCACCGTGATAGTTCTTGAAATATTACCAACCAACACTTTGTAATTAATGGATCAAGAAACTTTGGTAAACTTTTAGGCTGGGTTCATACTGATTCCCATGTTCTGGAACTGTTCCCGCACAGTTCTCGCACTGTGCTGGAACTGTGCGGGAACAGTTCCAGAACTGTGCTGCATGCACTGCAGCCGCCCCGCACGTTCTGAGCGGCAGGAGTTGGAGAATTTTGACCGTTCTCAACGGTTTTTCTTCCAGGTTTCGCTCATTTTGGCCTTATTCCTCCACCCCATTTTGCTTTTTGATCAGCAGAACTTCGAACTCAAAGCGGGGTTGAAGAATGAGCGCTTTTATGCTCCATGTACCGGAAAGATGGGCTATCGTGCGATTGTTTATTTTGTCTTCGTGTTTTTTGCTCAAAACTACTTCATTTGTTTCAGGAAGGTTTGCCGGCTGCCCAGTTTCCATAGCCATCTGCCACGAATTAGGGAGTAGGAGAAATCCTGAAATTGCATGAGTTGGGACTTGTCTCTTGTTTTTGATGATTTTGGGCGTTCCCAGCCTTTTTCGTTTTGCCATATCGCTGCTTCTCCGTTCTTTCTTCTACCCCGCTTCTCCTAGTGATGAGAAAAGCTGTGAATTTGAAGCGAGGTTGAGGATTGAACGCTGTTCTGCTCCATGTATCCGGGAATATGGGCCTTCGTGTGCTTGTCCATTCTCTCATCTTTAATTTTGTTCAGACCTACTTCATGTGTACTAATAAGTCGCTGCGTAGTCTCGCATCTGTACTGAAATTGAAATTAACAAGTCTCTAGAACACATGAAGTAGGCCCGAACAAAAATGGCAGAGAAGATGGACGAGCGCACGAAGTCCATCTTCCCGGATACATGAAGCAGAATAGCGTTCAATTCTCAACCCCGCTTCAGATTCACAGCTTTTCTCATCACTAGGAGAAGTGGGGTAGAAGAAAGAACGGAGAAGCAACGACATGGAAGAACGAACAAGGCTAAAAACTCCCAAAATCGTGAAAAACAAGAGACAAGTCCCAACTCATGCAATTTCAGGATTTCTCCTACTCCCTAATTCGTGGCAGATGGCTATGGAAACTGGGCAGCCGCTTCCTGGAACAAATGAAGTAGTTTTGAGCAAAAAACACGAAGACAGAATGAACAATCGCACGATAGCCCATCTTTCCGAATACAGTGCAGAAAAGCGCTCATTCTTCAACCCCGCTTCGAGTTCGAAGTTCTGCTGATCAAAAAGGGAAGCGTGGTGGAGGAATAAAACCAAAATGAGCGATATCTGGAAGAAAAACCGTTGAGAACGGTCAAAATTCTCCAACTCCCGCCGTTCAGAACGTGCGGGGCGGCTGCAGTGCATGCAGCACAATTCTGGAACTGTTCCCGCACAGTTCCCACACAGTTCCAGCACAGTGCGAGAACTGTGCGGGAACAGTTCCAGAACATGGGAATCAGTATGAATCCAGCCTTAAAAGCCAGACTTGAATATCAGTAGAATGGATTACATTGAACATTTTGTATGCGCTATGCGGCTACCAGGTACTTACTCCTAAGAGTCTCTTGAAGTTTTCCATACAAGAATAAAATTTTTGCTCTACCGTCATGACAGACAATTATGGAGAACACTAAATTCAGCTAATTTTTTAAGAGCCTGAGTTACCGTGACCAACTTAATCATAATTGTCTGATGTAACGACATCCGACTATAACTTACTTAGCATCATGGTTTCCTCCACTCTCGTGATTCTTTTCTGGACTGACCAGAAATGCCAACGTGGCACTGGAGGAAGAGCGTAAACCAGAAGTTGAACAAAATTTTGAAGAAACTCTACTTGCAGCCATCAAAATAAATCAAGTAGTAGCCGATCGGCTATCTTTTCGTTTATTAATGAGCCAGTTATTTAGAAAAAGATTTATCACATTGCAACTGTGCACTCCAAATAAAAAAAATTTTTTTAAAAGAAGCCTTAAATGCCTCAAGTTGTAAAGAATAGTGATACTGATAGTTATCGATCTCTTATATAACAATACCATACAGCATGGATTATACCTGGGATTACGCCCAGGAGGACTAGACCGATGTTCAGGCAAACGTGGCAGGAGCACGATCGACTGTGATACCAAACCGCCACTGGCTGAAACAGTTTATCAGGAATTATTCCAAGAGTATCGATGAATATGCAAATTTGAATACTTACCGGGCAGAAGAGCATAAGTATAAATTCACAAACTTTGCTAGAGTCAGCCATCAGTAAACTTCGAATTAAAAACCAGTAGAAGTATTGGCTGATGAAATTATATTAGAGCCTAAATCCAAGCAGCAAAGTTTGCTATTTTATCAGAGCAACACTGTCGTTCAAAGACAATGGGCGTTTAATCACAGAAATATTGTTTTTATCTAATGAGGATTAAGATAGTATGAACATAGAAACCTTCAAGATTCTCGCAAATTCTGGTGAAATCCGACTTAGCATTCAGTGAAGGAAGAATCAATATCACACCAAGCGATGATCACGTATAGAAAGTTTTCTTATTAAATCTTTTAGTCAAGATAATCTAAGTTCACCAAATGCTGTAAGCGTTTCTCTTAACAGATGGCTTCGTCAAGCTAGGTTAGAAGCGATGTTTTGGAGCAACAGTTTTTCTATACTTTTGGCTTGATTTGTGTACGAAATACGAGCGTTTTCATTTTGATTGTGTCCCATAGTAACTCGCCATCCCTAGCTCAGCTTATAGCGATTGTGCTCAGTCTAATAGAATATTGCGAATCAACAGGTAAAGCCACTTTTGCATCATCATTGGGCAATTTTTGATAGCGGCTACTATCAAGAAATCGATGCTGACAGCTATCAGATTTCGCAAAAGTTGAGATATAAAAGAAAACAAAATTATAGTCTGCTCTTGCCATAGAGTAGGCGGAGCATTCCGATGCGTGACGATTTTCGATAGCGAGAAAGTACAAAAAATTAATGTCTTAGATGGAGGTTTATCGAGTGATCGGTTTTCTGCCGTATTCCGCTTAATCTATGTCAAGCGAATGTTCAATGACTTGTTCAAAGAAGTTTTAGTGAAAAATCACAGTTATCAGAAAACAAAAGGGAAGGTTTGATTTAGATTTTGAGCAGATTAGGCATTTTCACTATGGAAATTGATGTTTGCAGTAAGAATGATTTCCTCTTTTCATGACTGCGAACAGGTGTCATTGATTTCTCCTCTCCCAAGGCTCTTAGTGGGCCTCGCCCTTTCTTGCTTATAAAATAGTTAGTCAGGGTCGCTGAAGCTTTGTGGCTGAAGGTGAATGCTGATCTCAAGACCGCGATCTTCACTTGCGAAACTCTTTTTTGGATTCTTACTAGTTGACCCCGTCAACACAAGTTTGGTGCACGACTACTAGCAGCCAGTGCTACGGGGCTTGTGATGTAGCTTAAACTAGTGTAAGTGTGCCACAATCGACAAAGGAAAAGCCATGGAAGAGTGAACTTATTTTAGTTCTAATCTATTGATAACTGCAATGAATTTGGTGATGGACTTGATTTGAAAGGGAAGTCGATGCTTACCAGAGCGAACGCTCTCTGCAAAAGCTGGAACTTATAGTTTGGCCGAAGTAGTGACGAAATTATTGACGAATATATTTTGGGTTGCGCACAGGAACATGGCAACACACCGACTTTCCTTACGAAAAAACCCCCCATACTGCGTTGGTTGTTGAAGAATGCAAAGAAGAAGCCAATTAAGATTAAAGCGATATCAGGAAACGATGACTCCATGTATGTCCAATAGAGTCAGTGCATTCTCTTCCGATCTGTGGTTAAATACTAGCGAATCACTGCGTCATCTGCCACGCCTCCGCAATCTCTACTCGTTATTACATCATCAGATTATACTTAGATCTTCAAATGCACATACGTGTAAGAAGTCACATACCCGAAAACACCTTTGTAGAAAGGAAGCGCTATTTGATCACAAAAAACTTTTGGTTCATGGGCAACGAAAGGTACACCATTTGTGCTGTGCAGAAAAGGTAACCTTACAGAAATGTTCGTTTTGATGGTTTCCACAGACAATGTTTTCCATTTAGGCTAGTGAAATTTTATGGTAAGGCAATGGCGGCCAGTTACTCAACAATACTCTGCAAAAAACTCTCCACCAAGATTTTTCTTAGCGTCAATCTATTTTAGAATTGTATGCTCCACATTGTAAGTCTTATTATGCCCAAAAACAACTTGCCTGGAGACTCAGAGGTAACCATATCAATAGAAAACATACCTTACTTCTACGTCATCGCTGTTCAGAGTACTGACAGCTTCACTTTTTGTAAGCTTTTTTTTGGATCCTAATCGGTGATAAGGCATTTCTTGGCAACGCCCGGTTTTTTCATATCAAACTTACTCTGAAAGTGAATCATCATAGCTTTATCGTTGAGTCATTGAGTAAACTTTGCAATAAATCTTGTTCGCGACTATCTTTATCAGTAAACATCAAGTTGCCAATACCAACTATATGAAACTTCTAAAGAGTTCTTTATGGAAGATGACAAACCTTTCGCTCTCATTATATTTCTATTCTTTCAATATAGCCTTGCAGCTGAAAAAGAAAGGCAAATGTTGAATCTATAAATAAAAGGTAATAAATTCGGCTTCTTTAATACCCATTGGGGGCATGTACCAAACGCACTCTACCTCACTGTATTATAGAAGAGCCTACCATGCGCTTGAGCGCATTTAAATTTACCTGCGTGTCCCACCCAGTCACAATCAGTGCTTTTATCCTTCCAGGTTACTCTAGCAACAATTTATCGTCGCGAAGAATAGAGGGCTTGGTTGGCCCAAAGCAGAATCGAACCCTGATCCGATCTGGTCATAGCGGCGCTTCATACCGTTATGCCGAGATCATCATATACACATACGTCACTAGTAAGTTTCTAGCAAAGCTTCAGCCAAAAATGTGAACGGGAGTAAAAAGCCGGTAGAAATGATGCAAAACATCCTGCTTCCCAAACGAGCGACTGAAATCAAATTGATTCGTTATATCTATAAGACCTCTTCCTCCACACTCACATCTAAGCTCAAATCTCTGAGCATCTCGTTTTACATGCTTTTACAAAAATAACTAGCCCACCATACGCTGAATTTACTCGCAAACCTTGTACGCTTGCGAATAACTTAAAATTGCAGAAGACGGGTTTAAAACTTGGAGACTCTCACATTCAATGGGTGCAACGTAAAAAAACATTATGGAGTTGAAGTCGAATCGTTTTGCTGTCACCGCCACACGCGTATAAGCTGCTAAACTGTAGCTATAAGCTCTCCTTTTTTTCTCGATTCTCTGCAAATATGATGACTCAACGATTTTAAGAAAAACTAGCTGGCTTACCCGGCTCCGCCGTATCCGGACCAAACTTGGCACACATACACTTCGGGCCCCGGCGCGTGTCACAGTCCACTTTTCGTTATCGATCGATGTCGATCTTACCGATTTTTATCGATTTTTTCGCAGAGTTCACCTACAGGGCTAGGAGTTGGCACAGGGGGGAAGTGAGCATGGGGATTCCGAATACAATATTAGTTTTCAGAATTATCGGTTACTTTTATTGATTTTATCGATTTTTTGTAAATTTTGACATGCGAGGCTGGGATTTTGCACAGGGGGGTAATCGAGCATGCTGATTACGAACACAATATTAGTTTTCAGGATCGTCCATTATATTTATCGATTTTATCAATTTTTTTGTAAAGTTTGACCTGCGGGGCTGGGAGTTTGCAAAGGGGGGGTAATCGAGCATGCAGATTACGAATACAATATTAGTTTTTGGAATTATCCATTACTTCTATCGATTTTATCGATTTTGCAAAATTTGAGCTAGGGGGCTGGAATTTGGCACAGGGGTGTAATCGAGCATGCTGATCACCCCCTTGGGGATGATCAGCATGCTCGATTACCCCCCTGTGCCAAATTCCAGCCCCCTAGCTCAAATTTTGCAAAATCGATAAAATCGATAAAAGTAATCGATAATCCCGAAAACCAATATTGTATTCGGAATCCCCATGCTCGATTACCCCCCTGCGCGAACTCCCAGCCCCGTAGCTCAAACTTTGCAAAAAAATCGATAAAATCGATAAAAGTAATCGATAATCCTGAAAACCAATATTGTATTCGGAATCCCCATGCTCGATTACCCCCCTGTGCCAACTCCCAGCCCCGTAGCTCAAACTTTGCAAAAAAATCGATAAAATCGATAAAAGTAATCGATAATCCTGAAAACCAATATTGTATTCGGAATCCCCATGCTCGATTACCCCCCTGTGCCAACTCCCAGCCCCGTAGGTGAACTCAGCAAAAAAATCGATAAAAATCGATAAAATCGATATCGATCGATGACGAAAAGTAGCCTATGACACCCGCCGGGGCCCGTAGTGTATGTGTGCCAAGTTTGGTCCGGATCGGTTCAGAAATGGAATTTTCTATTCGGAACATACGTACATACATACATACATACATACAGACAGACATACAGACAGACATACAGACAGACATACAAACAGACATTCAGCTTTATATATAAGATGATAGAACCGTTGCTGTCTTGGGAAAATAGTTGCGCTTCAAAAGATGGTTTCTGAGCGTAAGCGATTTGATATGAATCAAGCAAACAAAAGGTACACATCAAAAATGCACTTTAGATATACGAGCTGTGTTGAAGTAAAGTAACTTTTTAATTGGCTGAAGCGTGGAAAAGACTACTTCATTCAATCCTGCAGCAGATGAATAAACAGTCATCTTAAGTTAGGAGGGAAAGACCTGAGGCTACCGTGGTCACATAAGATGTATATGAAAAACGTATCTGAATTCTGACCTTAATTTATGTCTGCGTAAGTAACGGACGTTTTTCGCGAAAAAGATGTAGTCGCAGGCAGAAATCAGCTGTGCTGGCCAAGATGCATGCTTCATGCTATGGAGCAGCAACAATGATGATCAGCCAATGTATTTAAAATATAGGCTTCTTCATCCACGATCGGTGGCGGTAAGAGTAAAGAGGTTAAATCATGCGCGTACTGGCGAAGTCGCACTTATAGCGCGCAATGTAGGCATCAAGAAACCTCCAGTAATTTACTCATTAATTTTTGTTTCATCAAAGCTGATTAGTCTAAAGTATCACTCAGTCCTGCATACTGCAAGATCTCCTGCTTCCGTAGATCACATGCCTCATTGCCAACTTGTCGGGATTACTTCCAAGCGTCATATGCAACTTATGCAAAAATTTCAGAAAATTTCGGATTTAGATTGCTTTATATCTGGTTATGGTCTCGTCAAATTCAGACGCTTTCCTATCATTTATTTTTTTATTTAAATATGCACTCTAGGTATAAACAACCGGATTGACAAAGATAATCAATTGCTAATAATACATTATCACACTTCCATTCTCTGAACTAACTCTCTTTGCAAACCCAACTGAAGTCACTGAAAAGTAGCCAGAGTGACGGATGCCGATTTTGACGAGTCGGATCATACAGATGATCAGCATTGGGAATGCTATAGCCCTAAGAGTAGTATGAGGTTCGTGGGCGTCCAAGACTAGCCTGGTTCATGTTAGATATCCACCAACGTAACAGAGTAATCCGAAATACGCTTGTATAAAAAGTCTAAGCGGAATAGACCGTTAAAAAGCATAGCATTCGCACAATGTAGAAAAGCAACTCATAAAGGGCAAATGGAAGCGTGACAGGTCAATAGCAAACCTGGAAAGTTGGTAATAAAAACCATCAAACAAAGAAACAAAGAAGTTAGTGGACAGTAATATCAACGATCTATCTCAAACGGCCAGTGCGATTAGCGGAAGGAAGGCTACACACGGTCTGAAAAAGAAAAAAGCAAAAAAAGGCAGTTAATAGCTTTCTGATTCTTTAACTTTCGATAGATCCATCCCATTTATCTTGCGTTTGAAAACGGCTACGTGTGCTGATAAAATGGAAGTAGGCAATTTGTCAAACCAATTGGATATTTTGTAAAAAAGGTTGTTGAACATCAAAAGGAAACGTTTTTTTGATTCTTGGATAGTGAATGTTGAACCGACTCATTCTGAAAATTAGTCTAAAAATCCAGTATTGGCTTGTATTTAGTCTAAGTTCTTTACGTATAAGACGGAAGGCAAAGATATAAGACGGAAGGCAAAGATGAGAGCAAGGTATATTCTTTTGTGCTCTGAGCTTTTCATTGCCATTGACTTAAGACGTTTAAGAATCACTGTATTATTCTAAACTAGCTGGCTTACCCGGCTCCGCCGTATCCGGACCAAACTTGGCACACATACACTTCGGGCCCTGGCGGGTGTCACAGTCCACTTTTCGTTATCGATTTATGTCGATTTTACCGATTTTTATCGATTTTTTTGCAGAGTTCACCTACAGGGCTAGAAGTTGGCACAGGGGGGAATTGAGCATGGGGATTCCGAATACAATATTAGTTTTCAGAATTATCGATTACTTTTATTGGTTTTATCGATTTTTTGTAAATTTTGACCTGCGAGGCTGGGATTTTGCACAGGGGGTAATCGAGCATGCTGATTACGAACACAATATTAGTTTTCAGGATCGTCCATTACTTTTATCGATTTTATCGATTTTTTGAAAATTTG